AACTTTTTGGTTCCTTTCAATAAAAAAAATAGTCACCTGGACTTACTGAACACTAACAGTGTGACTTTTAGCAACAACTGAAGCTTTAAGAATGTGGAATATAATCCTAGCAAAAAGAAACAAGTATAATGCCCCTAGAGAAGATGGTGTTTAATCTCAGGGTGCCATTGAAATACCAAGGATGATCCTTAGTGCTCATATACAATGAAACTTGCTCATCTGGTGGGCCTAAGGAGACTTGTACTATGCCACTTACGCCCCATAATTTTAGCTTTATAATGTTGTGGGGATTCAAGACAAAGCAACTGTAATGGGGGGGTCTCATCTCCTTGTGCTTTTTAGGGTATCTCTACCACTAGTGTGCATTCATTACACTGTTCACACTTAGGTAACCCAAAACTTCTATTTGGAGAGCATAATCTGTAAACTTCAGTGAAACTCTTAATTGTTCACATGCCTAAACTCACTTGCAGGAGTATATCCAGAATTGAGATCTTAACCTTCAAGATGACCACTGCTGCTCTCCTTCTTACCCCAAGATATGAAGCTGTGTTACAAAACAATAGCCCTTTGTTTATATTTTACTGCAAACAAGTTTTTGCAAACTGTAAAAATTAAGGGTTCCCTGATAAAGATTTTTTTGGTTGATACTGACGGGCAATTATTAACTGGCCATATCGGCCAGTACTGATCCGATAGCTGATATGCAGCCTGGCAGCTTGGAGAACAGTGTCTGGATGGTAAGTCTGTGGGGGGTAAGGAGCATGGGGGAGGGAAGGGGCGTGGGGCTGCTGAATGAAGCTCTCATGGTGAAGGAGGGAATGGGGCTAGGGCCAGTGCCTAGCCGGGGTGGGGCATGGGACAGAGACACAGGTGACCTGTCCAGGGGGTGTGGAGGAAGGGTAGTTCCTCATTGCTGCATGCACCCTTGGGGGAGGCACAGGGGACACGTGACTCCCGGATTTGTGCTTGGGGCAAGGGCAGGCAGGCTGCTGCTGGCTCAGGGCCAGGTGCTGTGCCGGCCTCTTCCCTGTGAGGGGGCTGGGCTGGGGCTGCACTTGGGGCAGGGGCAGGGTGGGCAGCAGCGGTGCTGGGAGGGGGACTATGGGATAGGCTACAGCCACCCCAAAATTTGCTGTAGCTCCCCTGCTGGGAAGAGGCCGGCGCAGCCCCTGGCCCTGAGCCTGCAGTAGGCAGCCTGCCTCTGCAACAATCTGGGGGTCACATGTCCCCCATGCCTCCCCCCGTTGGTGTATGTAGTGGCGAGGAGCCACTCCCAAAATGAGCTGCCCGCAGCTCCATCCCATGCCCTGCCCTGCCCGGGCAGTGCCTACCCGTGCCCCTACCCCAGCTCCATTCCCTCCTTCATTGTGGGGGCGTTGATCGGCCCTCCCCCACACCCCTTCTCCCCACGGATTTACTAGCCAGACGCTGCTCTCCACACTGTCTAGCTACATTCCTGGCCACATGCATGCTGCGGCTGCGCACATGCACACAGCATTTATTAGTGACATTGGCTACACTGACCAAAAAAAGCAGATTGCCAATAATGTCAATTTTCCTTTCATTGGTGCCCATCTGATATGGACTGATATCAGTGTATCTGTAGTAAAAATAGTTTTATCACAACTTCTTTGTAGATAAGACATCTCTGGCAACTCTTTTTAAGAGTAAAATGAATTTTTGTTAGTGTTTTGGGTTTGGGGTTTTTTAACTATCTGTGCATTCCGTAGATATTTTACTTATCCATTTGAAGATCAAACTTTGGAAGAGGAAGAATTGCTGATGCATCAATCTGATAAAGCTTGTCATTTCATGGCCCATAATGGATGGGTAATGGGAGATGATCCTTTGAGGAATTTTGCTGAACCAGGTTTGAAACAAATTTTCAGTCCTTTTAGAAATCTTTAAGTATTCTAGCCTAAGCAAAAAAGGGTTTTTTTTCCCCTCTGGATCTATTTGTACAGTTACAAAGAGGTGAATTATAAACTTTGCAGTTAAATCACTATGCAGATTTTCTGTTCCAATTCAGCATGCTAAGGAATGACCACAAAAATATTTTACAATAGAGTTGCAGGGTCAGATCCTACTCCACCTATTAGGTGCCTAAAAATCTATGCATCCACTTTATAACATGCTGTCATCTTAGTTTAAGGCTAAGTCAAAAAGGCAGTGAAGAAAAGGACAACCCACCCCCTTTGATTTATTAATAGCTTTTTTCAGGGACTCCATCAGGGTAGAAAAGTATTTGCACTCAGGTGCCTAAATCTGCTTGGGGGCCTAGCCACCTAAGTAGGGTCTGGTTTACAGTCTTTCAGCTTAAATGATTTTACAATATATTTGAGTAGTGTTAATTATTACATCTGCATGTTTTATAACAAGCTCTGGTAGTGTCTGCTATAAGGTAGAAAAAAGTTTGTATTGTGAGTAGGTAGAAGCTACTTTACAGTATATTATTAATTTCTAAACCTAATTGATTTCTAATTAATCTGTTAAAATTAAAATCTCTACGCTTAATTTGGAGGGTTGGCTGTAGTTCAATTTTAAAACCAGTCTCTGGGTATCTGAGTTAGGGGTACCTGGAAATGCTTTCCCAAGATTTTTTTTTAATCATTTAATTCTGATCATCTTTTTTGTGTTTTTTACTTACATGTATGTATACATAACCCCAAAATAGCCAAACTTTGAGGGACAGAGCATGGATTTTTGTCCTCCAGTTTTGTCCATCTATCACCTAAATTTAAGTTCGTCACTAGCTTTTATGTGGCAAAAATTCAGAGCATTGGAAAGCCTTTTTTCATACTGTAATAAGCCTTAATTCCAATTCAGGAACCTGTGTGCTCATATATGGAAGGTTTGCTAATGCCTGAACTGAGAATATTGATGTCAGTACTAAAGAAAGAAGGGGGAAAGCTCTTCAGATCTGACTGACAATATTATTGCAGCTGTTTGCTTTTAAAAGGCGACTCATAAATTTTTGACTGTCAGGTCTGTCAGTGAGTGCTTTGAGTATCTGGCTTCTAAAGCTTGTCTATATACAGGGACACCAGGAAGTTAACCGGAATTCACAAGAGACTTGTCTACAAAAGGAAGTTATTGTAAAGTGAGCTAGGGTATGAATTTACTGAGCATTAATCTACCCCGTACTAAGTTCCATATTTAACATGAAGTAAGTTTACTCCATTTCAGTGTTTTTATTGCTGTTGTCTGCATATCTTCTTCAAAAACTAAAAAAGCCAACAAAGAATGCATGTTGGCCCACCATAGGATAAATGCTTTCTTTCTTTTTATGTCCTTCGGTTGGCCATCCTTTCCTTGGGATAAATACACAACATGTTTTCTTCCACTGTGGGTCATTGATTTTGAGCTCGAACACACTCGGCTTCACATTCCTGAGGCTTTCACTTTATAGATGGAATCCCAGTCCCACTTCAAACTTAGTGGCATTTGAATTCCACTTAATGCATCTGCAGATACTTAGTGGTATACAAAGTTAGACTATTGGTGTGCCTTAACGGGCCACTAAACTTGCTTGCACACTGTAATTGATTAGGTATACTATGGTAATACCCAAGCAACAGGTTTGGTGAAGGTTGTCAGTGTTTTATTGGTATCCAGAAAAGGGATATATGGGTCAATGATTCGCAGTGTATGAAGACCCAAAAGTTCTAGTGGGGAGAGGGTTTCAGGGTTAAGACAAAGGACATGGACACTAAGTAGCTGAATGATAATAAATACAGATGTCTATACCAGATGATATAGGAGTAGTTTCTTGAGCATATGTAGAAAGTTTTCTGTAAATAGAGCTTTATTTTAGAATAACTGTGCCAGAATAACTCCATGTGCAGAGACTGTATTGTGCAATAGTTATTCAATTTTGAAATTACAGTATAACTTTAACATGCAGTCAAGCTCACTACTTTTATGACCTGGCTTATTTTTTTTTCTTCAATAAATAAGTAGAACAATCAGAAAAAAATAACAGTAGGTCTTTGTTTAAGTGAAAGTAAGCTAACCTTTAAAACTCGTCAGTGCCAAGACTTTGTGCACAAAGAAGAAAGTTTGTTCCATGTGAGGCACGTATTTAGGCAGTTGTCTAACTGTGGCAATATGTCAGAGGTTGCAGATCAAAATAGCTTTTGCAGCTATGTTCAAATGTCTGCTAGTTCATCATTTTCAATAGCCATATTTTTTTCTTTCATCTAACTCTGATCTGACAATACTTTTAATTAAAACGTTCAGGTTCCTCCTTAAAATATTTGCAGAAAATGCATGTTTGTGAATATAACATAATTTACAGATAAATTGTTGCACTAATCACAGCTATAAGAGGCATAAATGAAACTGAATACAAGTTAAAGGTTACATTTCAAAACATTTAAATAATGTAGGACCTTAAATCAGAATAGAACTTGTGATGTAGCAGATTAGGTATTTTGAAAATTTTGTTAAAGCAAGATGAATAGAAAATGCTGCTAAAAATAGGTTAAGTCTAAAAATTGTGACTGCTTACTTACAGGCCTACATTGTCAGCTGCAAATATCAGCTATTGGTTTGTACCACTAAAAGTATGTAAGAGATGACTCCTGGAGTCTAAACTGCTATTCCATTTCATATACTGTTACATTTATTTGAAACTTAAAACAGAAGTTTCTTAAATCATAGAAAAGTAGGATTAGGAAAGACCTCAGGAAGTCATCTAATCCAACTCCTTGTTCAAGGCAAGATCATCCTACCTAATGCATCCTAGACAAGTGTGGTCTAATTTGCTTTTAAACTTCCAGCAGTAGAAATTTCACAACTCATCTAGGTAATCTGTTCTAGTGCTTAAACACTTTCATAGTGAGAAAGTTCTGCTTATTATCCAACCCAAAGTTCCCCTGCTTCAATTTAAGACTATAATGTCTTGTCTTGTCCCCTGCAGCCAAAGAGAACAGACCATCTCCTTTATAACCACCCTTCAGGAGTCGAAGAGTGTTATCAAATCCCCTTCGCTCTTTTCCAGACAAAATAATCTAAGTTCTTTCAACCTTTCTTTTGTAAATCATGTTTCCTAGTTTCTTCCAATTTATGAAGTTATACCACTAGTGTAGGTCTTCAGTGCATCAGTGGTATAAGTAAACTGATACAATAATCTGTAATTTGGTATACAGTTTGTAATTTTGGAATTAATATTAAGTTAATTAGGAGTTTTGATTTACAGTTTTTAACATTTATAAATAATACTTTTATTTATATTTTATTTCTTTAATCATAATCAAAATACACTTCCTGTCTCTGGCATGTTGTAGTGAGATTATTTTTCTTTCCTTTTTAGGCTCAAATGTTTACCTAAGAAGAGAGCTTATCTGCTGGGGAGATAGTGTCAAACTTCGTTATGGGAAGAAGCCAGAAGACTGCCCTTACCTCTGGGCACACATGAAAAAATACACTGAAATCACTGCCAAATATTTCCATGGTATACGCCTTGACAACTGCCACTCAACACCTATTCACGTAGCAGAGGTACGCGAAACTCAGCAGCTTCATAAATACCTTGTTTAACAGGTTAAAAGTGCTACTATTTCTCATTCACTGAAAGTGGATAACTTCTGCATTCCCACTTTTATTTGTAGGCTCTGATGTACTGAATCAGAAGCCTGTGATGTAAGACTTGTTCCTGTCTTGGAACCTAACAAGCCTAACGCTTGTTAGGTTACAGATGTTAGATGTACTATGAAATTCTCTCTTTAAATGTTAAATCCTTTTTTCCACTGCCTGCAGAAGAAAAAATTACATCCTCTACCTTAGACAAAAGCTCAAGTTTGTTTGCTTTTTTTAAAGATATTTAAAGGTAACTTCCCAGTGTAAATTGGGTATCTAAACCTCTCTTGAACTCTATCCCCAATGCAGTCTTAAACAGTTCACTGAAATTGTCCTTAGGGAATTATTATAGAAATGTTTGCCTCTAACTTGTTTAATTTTACATGCATGTTTTAAAGTTGTTTTATACTTAACCAAATTAGGTCTGTGTTTCATTAAGTTGGTGCTGGTGTTATGTGACATTTAAATCTCAGTTTGGTTTACTGAATTAAACTGAATTCATGTAAAGTTCCCTTTAGCTGAGATAGATAAGTGTCCACAACGAGGTGTTGCATCAATGTAAATATTTCAGTGTAGAAACAATGTAATTCAGTCAAAGCAATTCTAGGTGTTCACTGTGTCTTGAAAATATGGCATCTTATTTTCCCTGTGTTTGTTTCTTGTAGAAAATGAATGAAATAGGGAACTTTCTCAGTCCTTTTCTCATGGTCTGTAGGTGTCTGAATCTCAGGGAGATTTCTTTCCCTCTGTATGCTTATGTATTTGAGTTAAATAGGTATTTACAAACAAACTATAAACAAAGTTTTAAGTAATATGACTAAAATACTCTGAGAATTTATAAGTTACTGAGCAAGGCTTCCAAATCTTGTAAATGTAATTTGTGATTGACTTCAGTTTACTTTTGCTTTGTTTAAGAACTCAGTTGACTTTTGATCATCATTCTTATTAATTATTGTATATATGGAAGTTGCAAGAGATTTTTAATGAAGATAATTAAAAATGTTATTATGATCTATAGGACATGCTAGCAACAGCCAGGTCAGTCAGACCTAATCTTTATGTGATAGCTGAACTCTTCACTGGCAGTGAGTATATTGACAATGTCTTTGTCAACCGCCTGGGAATTACCAGTCTGATTAGAGGTACAATGAATGACTAAAAGCCATGTAGGATTGCTATGTATGATTCAAAGTTTTTTAATGTGAAACTAACATTGGCTTGTTTTTTTTTTTTATTCTCCTTGTATCTTTCTATGTTCTTTGCATATTCAAATATCTTTCTTTCAATGTTTTTAACTGTTTTTGGATTGCATCTTAATGTCCAATGTGGCTCTTTTTTGTGTGTGCGCCTGTTTTTAACTTCTATATTACTAAATTTATTTGATTCCTTAATTTTGGCTCTTCATTCTTTGCTGCATGGCATTTCCCTATTATCCAATTCCTGCCTAGCCTTGAATCCTTTCTTTCTTTTTATGTTTGCCATTTCTCTTTCTTTGGCTTCCTTGGCTGTGCTTTTTGCAGTATATGCTGGACACGGCTAGAAAATTGCGAGCTGATTTCTATATAGTGGCTGAGCTGTTCACAGGAAGTGAGGAATTGGACAATATCTTTGTGAATACACTGGGCATTAATTCCTTAATAAGAGGTAGGCTCGCTATGTGTGTGGTTCCTGCCCTAATTGCCACAGACTGTACATGTGTTGTGCCACACATGGAAAAAAATAACTTGATGGATATGCACAGGGTTCCATTTCATACTGTAATTAACAAATGCTTAGTGATGCATTTAGGAATATGACTTGGTTGATACTTGCTAGTGTGAATATAGTATTAATTGTACATGGAGAAACGGAAAAAAATCCTGGCAAAATTATTCCATGAAAATGCAGCATCTTATCTTGAGGATTGATTAACTGGTTTTATTTGTTGCATGGGTCCCCCCAAAGCCATTTGGAATCCCCTTTCAGAGATTTTATTTTTATTATTTTTTCTCTTCCCTTTTTAACACATCATTATAAACTGCATAACGAATGCCCTAAAGTATAAGTATGGTGGGCATACTACTTATAAGCAAAATGTAACCTTATTTGACATTGTGCCAGAATACCAAATGTAGACACTTTTTTCATAGTCTCCATACAAGATATCCTTTATGATAGCAATTCTTATGCAAGTTTTGTTCTCTAGAGGCAATGAGTGCATATAACAGTCACGAAGAAGGGAGATTAGTTTACCGCTTTGGAGGAGAACCAGTTGGGTCTTTTGTTCAGCCACGTTTGAGACCTTTAATGCCAGCTATTGCGCATGCACTATTTATGGATATTACACATGATAATGAATGTCCAATTCAGGTGAGCACTTAACATATTATCTAATGTCTCTTGTTCTGTTATTTTGAACATTGCAATGCTTCCATGTTCACCTCTTTTTCCGAGATGCTGGATCCTAGAATGGTGTGGGTAATACAAGGAGGATGAAATGAAACTGGTAGGGAGTGGGATGGGAGCTTTGCTCTATTTTTAAGTTCGTAGCACTAATTTTAATGACTACCAGTGGTGTTGCTTAAAAATGCAGTGCTCTGAGTGGTGTGGTGGAGGGAGAAGCAAGCACTTACCTCAAGTAGGGGCTGCGGTGGTAGTGCAGGCTGCTGGTGCCTCAGGGCAAGCTCCCAAACACAGGGAGAGTACTGTGGCAGCATAGGCTGCCTGGGAGCCACTATTCTGCCACTCTCTTTGAATAGGAGCTTTGGGTTGGTGCCCCTCTTCCCCCTCCCCACCTTCCTCTGCCACTCAAGTTATGCTACTGGTTATTACACTGCAGTAAGAGTTATCACATAAGCAAACAGCGAGTTCTTCTGTAAAACTGAGATTTCCTCCCAAACACAAATGCAGCATGGCGAAAAAGTTTCATTTGCTTCTCTTTATTATTTTATTCTTGATGTTAGCATCGATCTGCATATGATGCTCTTCCCAGCTCAATGATTGTTTCCATGGCGAGCTGTGCTACAGGAAGCACCAGGGGTTATGATGAGCTAGTACCACATCAGGTCTGTGTTACTTTTACTTTGCTTCTAAAAGGTTCACCACCAACATATATTGAAAGAAATGCAGATTTTCCATTTTGATATCTTATTTGCTAGTAACCTTGACTATTTTAGTTTATCTCAGAAAACTGAATTGTAGTCCTGGCTAAAGCAATCTGTACTTGAATTCTTGGAAGCAGCAGCTGTTTCATTCAGAATGGTCTGTATTTGACTAAACATGATCTTATTTGTAGATTTCTGTAGTCACTGAAGAAAGATTTTATGCTAAATGGAATCCATCAGCAACACCTTTGACTCCTGGTGAAGTTAATTTCCAAACAGGAATTATAGGAGGAAGACTGGCTATGAACAGGCTGCACCAAGAATTGGCAATTAAAGGCTTTATTCAGGTAAGAAACTAAAGTAATATTTTGTTTCCCTCAAATTTACTTTTCAGAGTAAGAACATCTGTCAATTTTATGCATTTTATAGGTGTATGTGGATCAAGTTGATGAAGATATAGTTGCAGTAACTAGGCACTGTCCTAACACACACCAGTCTGTAGTGGCTGTTTCTCGCACTGCTTTCAGGGATCCCAAAACATCCTTCTACAGCAAAGAAGTGCCTGAAATGTGCATCCCAGGTAATCAGACCTGTTCTGAAAAACTGACAAGATTGAAAAAATTCAAGTCACTCCAATGCTGTGCTTTAAACTTTTCATGCTGATTCCAGTTACTGAAGGGCTGTATATAATCAGAATGTAACACTACATCCACTTACATCCATAACAAGCTGTTATGGAGATATTAACAATTTGAAACCTCTTCTTTACTTTAAAAGAATATATGTTCATGTTCAGTACCTGCACCAGATTCTGCAAGGGAATGTTATGGTCTTCCTTTTTTCTTCTTTCTGTGACACTTTCATATAAGCAAGAGAAGTTAACTAACTCTGGAGGAAGAACAAGAAAAAAAGTAATAAGTATAGGGGTGGAGGGGGGGCAGAGAGAGAGAGAGAGAGAGAGAGAGAGAGAGAGAG